TCCTCCAGGAACTGCAGACTCCAACGTTCCCCGCCTCACTTTCCGGCCTCTCAACTGCAACTCTAAGCAACTATTACTATGTTGCAAATAAGAAGCTAAACAAAACCGGCTGTCAGTCAGCCCCGGACCGCAACATTGTATCCATGTTTTCAGCAGCGAGGCCTCAGAGCTAAAGCTGGCCCAGAATTTAAAAAAAAAGAAAACAAGGAGAGGTTGGGAGCTTTTAGTCAACTGCCAGCGGGAAAACAGCCCTCAGCCCCTCAGCCAGCCTGGCCAGGCACCCCAGTGGGGACCCCCACCCTGATCCAGGACACCCTTCAGGGCAAACCAGCCGGCCCCCACCCGTGCACCAGGCCTCTATCCTATATAGTAAAAGGGTAATATGCCTCCCGGCACCAGGATCAGCTCTGCTACTGCAGCTTTCATTTCATTTCCATTTGCATAAAATACCGTTTTCTATCTCTTCGCTTTTTGTCTGTATGTTCTTTTGAACTGAAGTTAGTCTCTTATAGGCAGCATATGCACAGGTCTTGTTTTTGAATTCATGCAGTCACCCTGTCTTTGGATTGAAATATTTAGTCCATTTGTATTTAAAGTAATTATTGATAGGTGTATACTTATTGCCATTTTATTAATTGTTTTCTGGTTGCTTTTGTAGTTCTTTGCTGTTTCTTTCTTCTCTTGCTCTCTTTTCTTTTTAAAAAAATCCTAACTGAAGTATATTTTTCCATTGACATTCAGAGAGAGTGGAAGAGAGAGGGAAAGTCAGAGAGAAATATCCATGTGAGAGAAACATATCGATTGATTGCCTCCTGCACGAGCCCGACCAGATCCTGGGCCATGGAGGGGCCTGTAACTGTGGTCGTTGCCCTTGACTGGAATCAAACACAGGACCCTTCAGTCCACAGGCTGATGCTCTATCCACTGAGCCAAACTATCTGTGGCTCTTGCTCTCTTTTCTTGTACATTGATGACTTTCTTAGTGTTTGTTTGGGTTCTTTTTCTTCATTTTTAACTGTATCTATTATAGATTTTTGGTTTTTGGTTGCCATAAGATCCTAACATATACAAAGAGTTAGGTGCCATCACAACCGAACGGGTGACCTGCACCATGAAGTGCATGGAGCATCTCTTGGTCCCCCTTGTCCCCCGGCCCCTAGCCACTCACCATGAGGGGGCGCTGGCAGCGGGGCGGGACTGGGGATTGTTGAGCACCAGTGGCGGGCTACTTCCTGGGGTGGCCATGAACTTAGCAGAGAAGTCACCCTTGTGGCAGTTCGTGAAGTAGTGGTGGGGCGGGGGATTTTCAAGGAGCAGTCCTCGGGTGGGGGGAGCCTCGGGGAGCAGTGGCGAGGCAGGGGGAGTTTTGTGGAGCAGTCGAGGGGCAGAGTGTCCTGAGGCAGGGAGCTTCATGAAGCCTTGCAGGGCGGCAGAGGCCATGTGATGGAGGCCAGGCCAGGCCTAGGGACTCTAACCACGCACGATTTCATGCACTCTGGGCCTCTAGCTCATATATAAAAAGCTATGTTTATAGCAATGTTTCTTAAGTTAATTGTTGCTTAAGGTCAAATGCATTCTAAATTTACATTGTGTACTCACCCCATGTTTATGTTTTTGACATCATATTTTACATCTTCTTTTGTATGTGTATCCCTTAATGTATTACTATTACACATGCTTTTACTGCTTTTCTGTGTTAATCTTTTTTTTAGCTTTATAATGATGATCGATCTATTACACTTTTAACTGTTTTTCATTTAATCAGGCCAAAT